GAAGAAATCACTCCTTATGGCGGAGGCTCCGTTATGTTTTGGGCAGCAATTAATTCGACGGAGCGTACGGAGTTAGTTTTCATAGAAAATGGAACATTAAATGCACACCGGTACATAATGGAAGTCCTAATTCCATATGCACAACCCACATTGACTGCACTTGGGGAAGATTCCATTTTTATGGACGACAATGCTCGCCCGCACCGTTCTGGCGACGTGGAAGCGTACATGCAAGAAGTTGGGATCCGTCGTTTAGATTGGCCAGCTCGAAGTCCTGACCTTAATCCAATTGAGCATGTCTGGGATGTTCTAAAGAGACGGGTAAGATCAGTGCAACCTGCTCCACAAAACATCAGGGAGCTAAAAAGAGTTATTGCAGAAGAGTGGGAACGTATTCCTCAAAACGTTATTAAAAACATCGTGGAAAGCATGCCCAGAAGGATTCAAGCTGTGATTTTGGCAAGAGGAGGTCACACTCGTTATTAGGTTTTTACATTTGAACTTTATTTAATTAAAAAAAGTAAAAAAAAATCTTGTCTTTATTGCCGACCACTTCTTATTGTTTGGGCGTGTACATCGGTTTTAAAGAATCCATCGTTTTTTTTTTCTTTTAATTGCCCGAATTCACTTCACGCGCATTAATTTACACGATTATAAGTATACAGACTAAGTCAAAGAAATAAATTTCATTTAATTAACTCAAATCGACTTTAGAACGTAAATTTCCTTAGGTGCCCGTTTTTTTTTGCAAAAGAGTGTGTTTGTCCCGGCCTGGGAATGGAACCTAAGGCGTCTGCGTGGCCGGCATGGTAACCGTTCGACCAAGGAGGCAGTAAAATTTTCGTCGATATGACACTTTTAGTGTAAATAATGTTTCTGCAAAGTTCTCTTATAGGTTTATTTAGGTTGTTCATAATTCATATAGTAATAAAACTAAGCCGTTATTTTTTATGCGTTATCCATTACAGATTATAAATAGGAGTGTCGTGTATGTACAAACACTTTGAAATAACCTTTATCAAATCTCTAATCATAGTACTGTCGAGGAGAAAACAACAATTAAATTTTTTTATAAAAAATATAACACACGGGTACGATACCATAAAAATCAGTAATTACACTGGCTAATTTCTATAAAATTATATAAATATTTTAAAATGTAATAACGGAACATGGTCGAATTGTTTTAAATAAATAAATTTAAAAAAAGTTAAGGATTCTTATAATTGTAATCTCAGTGCAGAGTACTAAAAAAACCGACCCAATACTCATTTATCCCCTATTTTGCCACCTTTAAAGGTGGAATATTTTCTTCAAGTTTAAATGGGACCACTTCTGATGTACCCTCTTTCCACAAAAAAAAAAAAAAAAATTAAAATCGGTTCACAAATATTTCGGAGTGATCGCGTAATAACATACATACAAACGAATTGAGAACCTCCTCCTTTTCTGAAGACGGGATTCGAGATCTCTTCCGAGTCGAGGCGCATAATTGCAATTCACAACTGGCTGATCGGAAACTTTTGACATTTCAAATCGTAACAATAGTTGATTTAACTCACAAATTAGAAAGGTATAGTAGGAATCAGGTTCATCTTCTCGCTCGGAAACCCATCTGATTTAGAGACTACCCGATCGGTTCGATTTCAATTTGAACCAAAATCAGCATGCTGGAGTCCTCTCTGAATAAAGGAATTTTTCTTTGTATTCCATTGACTTACAAGTATATGGACGTCGGGTCCGCGCTAAAAAGTGTCCGCACTTGTAAGGCGCTAAAATCGTATACAGAGCGCGACACTCCGCTTTAGTCTTCATTTGTTCTACTGACAGCGCGATACTGCGATGACATTACAATTTAAATTTCGAATAGGTTGACTTGGGACATTTTTTTCGTGGTTTTTGTATTAGACCCGTCGTCCATTTATTTGTAAGTCAATGTTGTATTCGATCTTTATTCATAATAATTGTAAATAAGAAACTAGTAAAAAGTCCTAATATGCATTAAAAATTTAATTTAGATTTTTTTTAAATTCTTATATACCCGGTTCTTATGTTTTGATGTCAAACGTTTGATAACTGTTGATGATGACATGTCACTTGAAAAGTTGTAATTCGATAACTACGCATTAAGAAAGTTCAATTAACTTAATGTTAAATAAAACATCACTACATCTTAAACAAAAAAAAAACTATAAAAGAAAAATTCGTTAACTTGTTATACCTCATCAACACCAAATTGTTACAAAATATTGAAAACGAAATAATCTCAATCTTTTTTAAACGTTTTTGCGTGAATAACTCTACGCTTATATTTTTATCAGTGTTTATTGTAACATTTTAAAGGTTACCTTCAGTGTAACTCCGGTCTGGTTACTTTAACCACGTCAACTTCAGTATTGGTTATTATTTCGATTAACCTATTGCGCGTACTTATAAACAATCGCGCGATTGACGTTATCTACAGTTTAGTGACCCAACGGCTCGAACGCGAATTAAAGTTAGTTCTGCGCATCTGTCCCTCCCGTTTGATATCGGTTAGAAAAGGACAAAATACATATTTTTAGTTCAGAGCAGTCATAATCATCCCCGTTGTTTTTTTTTTAAATATCAATTGACGAGACGAACAAGTCGTATCTGATGGTAAACTACACGCCTGTCTTTAACAGTTACAGTGCCACTCAGAGCCTTAAATTGCAAAGATTTGAGTGCTACCAGTGCACCCGTTCACCCTGAAACATAGGTCGACAAGTCCCATGTGCCTGTAATTTCACCAGCACCCTTATTGGCGGCAGAATTAGGTAAGGTGGCAGTACTACCTTGGACGAACTCTTTCACAAGGAGCGCTACTGCTAAATACGTTACGATAGTAAGTTAATAATGATAACATTTCCATCACACTTGCACGTAAATAGTGTGATTGCATGCTGGCCAACCTGACTATGATGCCCCAAACACAAAACCCCCGGGCATTTCGTCTTCTCATTACCGATCATGGCTTCAATGAGAAAAAAAAAGGCCCCAGTGTTTTACTTGGGTCATTATAGTCAAGTTAGTCTGCATGCAATCGTACTATTTAAATGCAAATTTGATGAAAAACATTGTATATTTCACGGGTTGTACAGGAATGACGAACCTCGCTCCGAAAGCCTCTTCGACTTCTAATAATATCTTATTTAACGCCCTTAATACATAATGTATTACTATTACATACAAAGGCAATGGTATTTGCTACGTGTACCCCATCCCTTGGTGTAATAAGACCACATCTGCAAAATGACAACTTTTTAGATGAGGGGTTTTAAGATTCTATTATCAACAGTTTTATAATAATAATAATTTGTTTTTCAGGCAACATAAATCCATACCTAATTAGTAAGAGACTTATAAACTGTAATAATACATTATTTTAATCGATCTAGTAAACTCTATGAGGAGTTTTCTTAGAGTTCCTGCAATTCTCAGTATGCCGTTGCTACAGTTACGTAGTACGGTAGAGAAAGCAATAGAGCACCTTGTGAAAGCGTTCATTCAGGGAAATACTGCCGCCAAGCAGTAATGTCTGCATTACTGCGTTCCGATTTGAAAATACTTTCAACCCTTATACAAGGGTGCTTGTAAAGTTACAGGCACGTGGTACTTGTCAACTTATCGTCGGGGATAGTGCAAATCCGCGTAAGTAGCATTGGTAAAAGGTGCGTATATGCACAAAACCAAATTTCTACGTCATTACTTTGTTATTTCAACGGCTACGACTTTCAATTTTGCACAGTAATCATTTAGTTTATGTTATCTACAGACTGATAACAATAGAATCGCGCTAATTTGGTTGCCATGACTGTTACGCATACTATTTGATTTGGCCACTAATTTATCGAAATGGAAACTTATAATCCAATGCTAGTTCTGCGTTATTGCACTATCCCCGACGTTATGTCTCAGGGTGCAGTGACAGTGCACTTGACTTTGCGATTTAAAGCTCTGAGTAGCACTGCAACTGCTGCGCTACAACTGCCTCTGTGGCCGAACGGCGACCATGCTGGGCTGCTAGGCAGAGGGCCGGGACTCGATTCCAGGGCCGAGAGAAATATTTGCATGGCCTATATTTATTTCTCTCGTAAGTTTGGGTGTAATTTGTGGTTGTCTACCTATGTGTGTGTCCATGGCACCCGCGATACGGGGTTTTCAAGAAATTGTTATTATTATTATGAAACTAGGCGTGTCGTTTACCACTAGATGGACGCTTGTTTGTGCCATCACTTAATATTATAAAAAAGGCGGTCTGCGCTTCCGCAAACATGGCAGACGCGCTACACAACTTCTGCAGCCTACTAATCCTGTTGTTGTTGTTGTATTAGGTGGTTTTATGCGGGGGAATCACAAAATATCACATGATTTGTTTCATGTATTGACGTATTATCACATGTGGATTTATTATACTAAGAGGGTAAGGACGGTAAGAGGGTACGAAAAGCTAACACAAAACAAAAGAGTTTAAAAATAAAGCAATATAAAATAGTGTCAAAATATAACGATGTCCGATAATAAAATTTAAAAAAATTGCAGTTGTAAAGTTTTAGTGCAGGGTATACTTTCAAAATTCAAAAATGTTTGAATACAAATATTTAACCAAGGAGCATTTGAAAGGACTGAACAATTACAAGGTAAGCGTTTTAAGGTTAAAGCGTTAGTTTTTAAATATGTTTATTACATATGTACGTACACTACATATTTTTATTTGATAAACCAGATGCTTATTATAAATGACGCACACAATTTCCTGTCTTCATCCTGTAAAGTTGTCAAAAATGAGATAGTACCGGTTGCCAGTTCGCAGTCGATGCGTGTCTCCATCATTATTTGATTTTTAAAACTATACTATATTTTTAACTAAAATATGTTTTATATTTGATTAAAACCCGAATTAAGAATCAAATAATGTGTGAAAATCGTGAAAGTTTAAATCAAAGTATCCTCTATTATTTTAAGAACTCTGTTTGAGCTGTCTCACACTAGTCCCGACGCATTGCAGTAGCGAGGAAGCCCGAACTGGGTACTGAACACAATTGACCGACTATTTTTTTATTTTCAAATTAGACTTAAAATAATGAAGTGTAATAATCGGCCAGACATTTGATAAAATGCCGCATAATTTTAGGAATTTTACTTTCGCTAAATATATCAGCGTATGTAGTAAATGTGGCATTTATTAAAGATGTCATTGATTATAAATTTGATAAAATAATGTTTTGTCTTTCAGTACAGCGCCATAGACACAAGCCCGCTAAGCAAATATGTAATGCATCCAACATGGAACACCATCGTTAAGGTACAAAACTTTTACAGGTTTCTCACATTCGGCGCTACGGCAAAAAAAAAGCCATTCAAAACCAAAAATAAAGCTTTACAACCACATAAAGAAATTTATAAGGTCTGCTAACTCATTTCATAGTTCAGTTGGGAGAGCGGTAGCCCGGTTCATCGAGAAAGTCGAAGAAACTTTTCTATGTGTTTGTTCAATCTTTGTATAAATAACAAAGCACATAAATCAAAAACCAAGATCATAATTTACATTCATTAATTTACATAACACAAACGACATATAAATTTGACGTATATGATATTAATACAAAGATATGGCTCTGCTCTGCAATTGACAACTGTGCCCTCGTGGCATAGCTTGACTTCTAGGTGACTCGGAATTAGTGGAGGCGAAGCTGCAGAGCCTTGAACACCGCCGTAAAGTCACCTGTTTATCGGTATTTTACGGGATATATCATGGACAGTAATTGAAAAAATATTTTTTTTTCTTTATTGAACCATAACTTCAAAACTGTCACAGATATTTAATCTCAAAACATTGAATGATTCGTGAGGGCCAGGGCTTCCAAATGCTCATACAAAATGTTTTAAACTATGTATACACTGGGACACGCCGGCCTAAAGAAGCAAGCCTTACCCATGTATAGCTAAGGATACACTGGCCTGGGATAAAAGTATTGGGTGTTTGACAGGGTATACACAGAATTAAAATATTATAGCGCAATTTAAAAAATATTTTTAATATTTTTCAGTTCATACCAAATTGGATAGCTCCGAACCTTCTCACCTTCGCTGGGTTTATGTGCATGGTAATAGATGCCTTGTTACTATCGTATTATGACTATGATTTCACCGCATCGGGGAAGCCGGAGGGGTATGAGGCGGGTGGCAGGGAGATGTCGGATTGGGTACTAACAGTTTGCGGGGTTCTGTTGTTCCTTGCTTACAATTTGGGTAAGTTTTCTGCTCGCGAACCTATTAATTTTGTTACCAATTAATTAAGGTTTGTTTACCGCGTACTGTTTATGTAGAGTGATTTTATATTACGTGTAGATATGAAAGCTTTTATGGACGACATTGAGTATTAATTTTAGCTTTCTTGGAATATTAAATAAGTGAATGAATAATAATATTAACAATTTTTAAATACCATTACACACTTAGGTCAAGTCGGATTGAGGACTTTTTTTAGTAGCAATAGAGGTCCTTGTGAAAGAATTCGTCCAGGGTAGTACTGCCACCTTACCAATTTCTGCCGCCAAGCAGTAATGTCAGCATTACTGTGTTCCGATTTTGAAGAGTAAGGGTGCTGGTGAAATTACAGGCACATGGGACTTGTCAACTTATCTCTCAGGGTGACGGGCGTAGTGGCAGAGCCCCTCAGATCTTTGTGGCACTGCAACCGTCAGGCGCGCGACTTGTTCGTCCCGTCACTTGGTATTATAAAAAAAAGACTTCCCACGTTTTCCGAGGGCTGTGAACCTTCTTCAACGTGCAGGTTTCACCACGATGTTTTCCTTCACCGAAAAGCTCATGGTTTTCGCGTTAAATTCCGAGAAACTCGGATGTGCGAGCCCGGAACCGACGGCCTCTACTTGAAAGGCGGTAGGATAAACCTTCATCTTCTTCTTAACTTAAATACCATCTCCTATTTAAATATTCAAAATTATGAAGCTATCAATTCGGATCTTAACCGCGTATATCGCACTCTTTGTGCAAAATGACAACTTTTCAAGAGAAGTGTTTAAGGACTCCGTGTCGATGACTTTTTATGCTTTAGAGTCTGTACAACCCAAATGGCTTTGGTTGGTTCCGCATAACACCGCATAACAGTGAGTGTTGAATCGATCACTTTGGGAAAAATACATACGGTGTGAAAACACGATTGCTAAAAATTTTCACGATGAAAAAAAACACAAACTTACATTGAAATTTTACAATAAAACCGGTGTATTCAATAGGTACTTTTAAATACCAATATTTTTTTTTGCATCAAGTGAAATAAATACGTATAGACAATCACAAATACATCCAAACTCACGAGAGAAATAAATGTAGATAATCATTGATTTACAATTATATGGACGTGGGTCCGCGCTAAAAAGTGTCCGAACTTATAGGGCGTTAAAATCGTATACAGAGCGTCATTCACGCTTTAGTCTTCGTTTGTTCGACTGACAGCGAAGCAAGCAAAATTAGACAGTACTGACATGACATTACAATTTAAATTCAACGTTTTAGCTTTTTCATATTCCTTTACATGTCACTACGTTTAAAAAGGTTGACTTGGGACATTTTTTTCGTGGTTTTTGTATTAGACCCGTCGTCCATTTATTTGTAAGTTAATGTAGATAATACAAATATTTAACTCGAATCGAGCCCGGGACCTCTGCGTGGTAGTCCAGTATTGTAACCGTTCGGCCACCGAGGCAGTTAAATATGAGGATCGAACTTTTGTTGAATTAATTCCCAGAATTAATTCCGTTCCTCTGGTACTCAAAGTACAAGGACTTTCCTAGTTTGAGACCAGTGCTTCTAACATGAGATTACTGTGAGAATTGACGCTACCGACCGATTATATAGCGCTCCTAGCGGTCACAAGAAGAAACAACTTTTTGTATAAAGGCATTTTACGCGGTCGCTAGCGACGGCTGTCCGGTGTATTTGTTTGACATATTATTATTATTATATAAAATGCATAAATGTATTTTAAATTGCAGATGGCGTGGATGGCAAACAAGCTCGTAAAATAGGCGTGTCTGGCCCACTGGGAGAGCTATTCGATCACGGACTGGATTCTTACATTGTGTTCCTGATTCCTTTCAGCCTCATCTCTGTGTTTGGTAGGGATGAATATTCGTTGTCGATTTTCAGGTGAGCAAATTAATAGCGAGTGAAGCGAGAGAGGGTTTTTTAGCGTCGACTCAAATTACATCATCGACAGATAAAAATGAAATTTGTAATTAGCATTATAAATACAATTGTACAGGTCATAACGAAACCCAAATATTTCAATCTTGATCTATGTCCTGAAATAATCGATGTCAAAGGTCACCTTCAGTCACAATGTTAAGTTTATGCAAAAAAACGTTCAATGTAAAATGTTGCGCGCGCTAATGTACGAAACTGTGAAAAAAAAACACAATAAAAGAACATTTGGTCGCGTGAATGTACAGAACAGTCAAAAGAGAACAATAAAATTTTATTTATTTTATCTGACAGTTTTTCCTGTAACCCGAAGGTTGCCTGGAAGAGATTGCTATTTAGCAATAAGGCCGCCTGTTGTATCTATAATTATAACTTTTTGTATTATTTTGAATTTCTCCGTGTGCAATAAAGAATATTTGTATTGTATTATAAAAACAAATACAATAAAAGAAAAAATAAAACCATATTACGTGCATAAGTGCTGCACCGTGAAAAAAGAAAAATTGCTGCATCCCAATAGGGAATCGACGTTCTACCTGATAATATAAATTATATTATATACACGATTTAGATGTACAAAATCAGTTTCATTACAAATGTGGTACACATTGTTATTGCTATTGCTACCATGGTACATAGTTGTGATCATCGACCTGTAAAGAGGCGGAAATGTTTGAAAAAAACAAATAAGATACCTACACGATTTATATCCGAAAAAACAGTTTCAATTCCAATGGTAATGGAAATGGTATACGATAACAAAGTTACGTATTTGTTGTTCCAAAATTCATTTAGTAGTATTTGCTGTTGCCCGAAGCTTTACTGTCTTTGCGACTGGTTTAACTACAAAAAGTTCCTTAATTTCGTGACCCAATTTCGTGACCCGATAAAGTAAATTCAAACATTTTTTTGCTATATTAATTTTATCAAGATGTTTTGCTACCGTGATATTTAATTGTTTTTCGTGAAATTACCCCACTAGCTTGTTATAAAAATTAATACAAGAAACATTCCTTCGACCCGGCTTTTTCCAGATCTTTGTTTTTGGATTTTAACGACTTTTTAGCCGTAGCGCCATCTGTGAGAAATCTATAGGCTGAATGAAGAAAAATTGTCATAGATTTCTCTCTCTTAGTGTTCGATCTTTGTTTTAATTTTTTTGATAACCGACTTCAAAACAAGGAGGAGGTTCTCAATTCTACTGTATGTTTTTTTGTATGTATGTTACGCCATAACTCCGCTATTTGTAAATCCATTTTGTTCATGTTTCTTTTTTTGTAGGAAAGGGGGTACCTCCATAGTGGTCTGTCTCCATCCCATTTTATTTTGAAGAAAATCATTCACCTCTAAGAGTGGCTGTTCACGCATGAATATTCATTTTTATAAATAGCGCCTAAATTTTATTATAAGGAGCAATTATTTTAGTGGTTGATTTTGCTATTAATTGAAGACAATTCAAGGCGTTTTTCTCTCTCAATATACTTTGATTATTGAGAACCGATTTTTATTATCACCTGTGTTGACAGTATAGTGGCGAACTAGGGGATGAATTCGGGTTTGCGCATTATCCGGTAACCAATTTCAATAAAACTTGGTAATTATATCTAACTCCACATACTTTTGAGGTCGGTTTTTTTAGTACTCTGTACTGAAATTATATTTTAATTTATTTTATATTTAGTCCCACTTATTGGTCTAATATAAAATTAACCTAGCTTTAGTCAGCGCCCTTGCACAGCATAAACAAAAAAAAATTGTTAAATGTTTATCGATCTGCCTAACCTTTATTTCAGAGGCTATCTCGTAGTAATGAGCATAGTTTTGAACTTCTACGTGAGCCATTGTGAGAAATACACCACAGGTACATTGTATTTGCCTTGGGGATATGACCTTAGTATGTGGGTAAGTAAATGCTTGGAGATTAATAAATACATTCATTCATTCGTTCTTTTTTAAAACTATAGTATATAATTCGCTTTATACTCCAACTCAAATAATTTGAAAATGTCATATTGATCTACTGCTCTTTCAAAAGGCGGATCACCTTGAAAAGAAACTCCAGGGGTTGCTTTTGGTAAATAAATATTTGTACATATTTATTATTTACAACATTTATTTCAAATACCATAGATAGACACAACCTGTAAGGGCTAAACGGGTCACGGTCACAAAGTCACAAATTGATTTAAGAGGCAATGTATACGTTTCTATAACAAGGTTCCGGTTGATATACAAAATTTGCCATTCATGAGGTTTAAAGCTATGGTGAAACAAAAACTTAACTCGTAACGTAACCCGTTTAGCTCATGGAGGTAGGCTCGATCTCTGATGTTTGAAAACAATAAAAATATATATAGTAAATGTTGAATGTGTATATGTTATTTACAAAGAGCAACCCTTAGAGTTTCTTGCTCATTCTTCTCAGGGGAATCTGCCTTACGAACGAGGGGTAGAGTTTAACCAATGTGACGTTTTCAAGTGTAATAATGCTTGCCTACCTATTTTCATTTTTGACTCGCATACACACATTTTTGTAGTTCAAGTAAGCAGAAGCTATATATGTTAGTGTTAAGTTTATCATAAAAACTTCTTCTAATGTCCACTTGCACTAAACCTAAGTATGTCTGATGGGAAACGCCCGGTCGGAATGACTCTCATCCCTTGGAATATGGGCCGGATATTGATGTGTGCCAACACACTTGCCCCATCCCGTGTCCAACACACCAGCAATAGAGCTGCCTCGGCAACTAGCTAGGCGGAAAGAATAAAGAGCAATAAGTACCAGGACCTCGGCTCCGATTACCTATTTACAGCCTTTGGAGTCGAAACCCTTAGCCCGTGGTGCCCTTCATCTGTACAAAATTTTATCCAAAAAAAATAATAGACTGTTTGGGAAACCCAAGGGCCGGCAGCTACCTTGACCAATGCATTAGCATAGCAATATAAAGGGGTAAAGCTATCAGCATCTTTGGCTCCTTGCCGTGGGGACCCAAATTTAATCATATAATTTAGATCCTAAATTTAGTTTCTAGTATTTAAGCTTTTCTTGTACCTTACATGTATATGTATATATGTGTTTAAACTTATTGTCTAATAAAAACTTAAACCAATGCTCGCAATGCAAAAAACACTCTTAATATATTGTGTTAAGAGTCTATAATCAATTTAAGCATTGGTTTAACACGTAATGATCAAGCAATGAGCCATTTTTAAGATTATTTTCAAATGATAATATGGTAATAGACCTTTTAATTCTCGAATGGTAATGCAAAAATTTTAAAAAATACTAACGAAAAACAATGTACAACCAGAAATTTGTCTTACAAACTACCAAAAGGTACAAAAATTGTATAAAAAAAATTGCGATCTGACTATCTCAACACCGTCACAAATGAACATTTCATTTATGAATTAGATAATTAAAAAGTCATTATTATTAAAAAAAAACACAATTTATTCTTGAGTAAAAAATGTAGAGCCGCTATAAATTGGGCATCCTATATGTTTTCTTAATGTTAGGAAGATTCGTTTTCTATTTACGCCTCGAAAGACAAATTTATATTCAAACAGAGGTCCTACCATAATATATATAACACAAAGTCCTTTTTTCCAGGTAGCAACCCTCCTATTCCTGGTAGGAGGAATTAAAGGACCATCAGTGTACAAATATCACGTGTTACCTGGAATCACATTCGTCCAAGTTTTAGAAGTGGCCATTCACGGCACAGGACTGTTTACTACACTGCCCGTCGCAATTTATAATGTTTATTTGTAAGTTTTATTTTATAAGGTTTTTTTTATGTTACCATGTAAGCGCTTGGTGGTAAACGAGACGCCTGTCCATTGCAGTTGCAGTGGCGGTCACCATGAGACATAAATTGACATGTGCTATGTGCCTGTAATTTCACCAACACCCTTACCCTTTAAAACTGGAACACAGCAAAGCTCACATTGCTTGGTGGTAGAAATAGGTAAGGTGGCAGTACTTCCCTGGACGAACCTTTTCACAAGGAGCTCTAGTTTTAGGCTCTGTGGTCGAACGGCTTACACACCTGTTTTCATGGTGTCGCTTTCTCTGAGGTCCCGGGTTGAGCCCCGGCCGGGTCGATACAGAAATCTAATGATGTTTGTGGTACTATCATTGTTTCCAATTTCTATAATTAGTTACTTAATTTAGTAGCAGCAGTAGAGCGCCTTGTCAAAGAGTTCATCCAGGGAATTACTGCCACCTTGCCTATTTCTGCCGCCAAGCTGTAATGTCAGCATTACTGTGTTCCGGTCTTGAAAGGGAAGGGTGCTGGTGACATTACAGGCACACGAGACTTATCAACTTACGTCTCAGGGCGACGGGCGCAGTGTCAGCCAGATCTTTGTGATTTAAAGCTCTGAGTGGCACTGTGTTATGGACAGATCACTTGATATTATTAAAAAAAATAGGATCAACGCAACGTATGTAATGTTGATGTTGATTCTGCTACTTCATACTATATATATATATAACTGCCTCCGTGGCCGAACGGGTACCATGCCGGACTGCCACGCAGAGGTCCCAGGTTCGATTCCCGGGCCGGGAGAAATATTTGTATGGCCTACATTTATTTCTCTCGTGAGTTTGGGTGTAATTTGTGGTTGTCTATGTGTGTGTCCATGGCACCCGCGACACGGGGTTTCCCTAGTGCTAGTAATGTTGAGTGTGTGCGTTGTTGTTGTTATACTTAATTATATAAAAATATAGTGTGTTGTATTTTATGTAACCCTTTTAGTAACACATTAATTCATCTTCTGGGTGAAGGAATTATCATTCACAACAAGAAAAACCATAAATGCCCTCGTATTCAGATGACTCCTCTTTACGATAATCGCATCTATCCGTCGCTGTTTCCCTTGCGTTCAAGCTGATCGTAAACGACATAAACATACACTACAGATTCATCGATTTAAACGACGGATTGTGAAGACAAAGCATCCCGTATGTGGGTGCCTTAGTATTTGAAATTTCTGCCGATGACATTCATTACTTCAAATGTGAAATTGATATTTTTTTTCAGGTTTCGTAAAAACGCCAAAGGCAAAAAGAAATCTCTAATAGAAGTTCTGCGTCCAACGTGGTCAATGTTATTGATGACATCACTTATGACGTTTTGGGGTCTCCAGACTCCGAACAACATCGTGGAGAACGACCCCAGAGCATTTCTTCTATTATTTGGAACTTTATTTAGTAATATTGCTGTAAGTAAATTTGAAATAAGTAACCATTTGTACCCTTGGTATATATAACATACAGGGACAGTCTCGTTTAGTGTCAACTACGGATTATATGAAAAATTTAAACATGTATTCCGCAAATTTGTTGCGTGTTTTACTGTGCTGTATCTTCAATTGGTATGACGTGGTAAGGCGGAAGACTCTGTGGATTCAGCTGGCTGTGAACACGTAGTATGTGAGGCACATGGTATATTAATAAAGTTGTTCGCAAATGGAGTATTGGCGCATTCCACGTGAGTCATGGCACTACCAGGAACACTCATACCAAAAATAATAAATCTCATAAAATAGAATTGAAATAATCCCATCTTTTTTTTAAAAAGAAAACCGACATCAAAAGTTCGTGAAATTACATCTACTTACCAAGTTTTATTGAAATCGGCTATATTTCTTTTCGGTCAATTTCAACCCCTAGTTTGACACCCTTACCGGTAGAATCTTTTCTTCAAGTGAACGTATGATCAATATTGGGGTGCCCTCTTTCCAAGAAAAAAAAAATCCTCAAAATCGGTTCACAGATGTCGAAGTAATCGCGTATTATACATACAATAAAAATACAGTCGAATTGAGAAACTCCTCCTTTTTTAACAGTCGGGTAAAAAGCTCATTTCCCAAATTGGTCTTACAGGAATCCCCGGGACGTAGAACAATGGAATTCACTCCTGAGCACTACCTAGTACACAGACCAGAACAACATTTTTGTGATCACGCGTCTAAAGTGCTTTTATCACTTGAAAGGCATAAAAATAATGCTAACTACGTGACAAACTATGTACATACAAATTTTTTTCCTAATTAAACATAACAAAGATATCGACTAATTTCGTTCGTAGTATATTTAAACGTCTCTCCTGAAAAGTTGTAATTTTGGAGATGTAGCCTTATTACATTAAACGGTGCGAATTTTTTCATAATTTCGCGTCCAATGGCTTGAAAATTAGGATTTTCATAATACGTCTTTACTGAGACCGTCGTCGTTCGGTCTCATCTGCTGTAATTATAAACAATAAAGACACAATTACTAATAAATACGTGTTAATTTATGTCCGCCTAGTACAAATAATTTGTTTTACAAATTCCAGAGTCGCCTGATAGTATCAGAAATGAGTAGCCAACGCTGCGAGGCAGTATGCTGGCTGTTCTGGCCTTTGCTTGCAGGAGTTTCCCTTTCGTTCTACCAACCACATTTAGAAACTTCTTGTCTTTATGCACTCCTGGTACTGAGTATATTAGCACATGTGCATTATGGAATGTGTGTGGTAAGTACACAACAGTTCTGACGCCAAGCAGTATTGTAACTATTACTGCGTTCCGGTTTTGTAGGGTGCTGGTGAAATTACAGTCACATAGGATTTATTTTATATTAATAATTTTATTAATAAATAATATATAAATAAATCATATACATTATATTCATATATACATATACACATACATGCATATACATAACAATACATATCAAATCAGTTACGATAATAATTATAGATACCATAGAAATCAGAAGGAGCCACTATTCACTACGACAGAAACTTCACGTTTATATCTATACAAAGAGGTATTAAATATATCCACGTCCTGGAAACAATAATTATAATTGCAACACATCCTATAAATTGATAAATTGGAGAGCGTTTGCCAAAAAAAGAATAACAATGTAAATTATACATCTAGTCTAAAAATTATTTAAAAAAACAAAAATGCGACTGCAAAAATATGTAGCTGAAAAGAAAAATAATTCCCCCTACACTATTTTGATTATTTTTTATATCTTTCCTACAATCAAAACTAATCTAACGACACCTCATATGTCAAAATCCATCAAGCCGTTTAGGCTGTGCAGCGTGAAAAAGAAATGGACATACATACATACAAACACTTGAAAAACATAACCCTCCCGTAGTCGGGAAAAAACAATGTTAAACAACAATAACACAAGTTAACCATCAATTGGAAGTGAAATATTCACTTCACGTCTCAGATAATGTACTAAAGACCATTTGGCTGAATTAATACAATGATATTGTTTGTTTCAGGTACGACAAATATGCAAATATTACAATATAAACTGCTTTAGAGTGCCCAGGTCAAAACAGAAATGAAGTCAAAATGATCGAAAACTGTGTTTTTGAACCCGTTCTTGGACAGTCCTAATACCCCACACAAAAACGTTTCTACTTTTCTTATATACCATCATCCTCTTATCGTATTAATGGCAAACACGTGTTGTGGTGCGAGGTTTTGCCAATCTGCATGAGGTACTCGCCAATAATGCCCAGCAGCTTGATTTTGATTGCCTCTCCCGATCGAAAACTGCGTCTTTTCCGAGTCGAGGCGCATAATTGCGATTCACAACTGGCCGATCGGAAACTTCTGAACAATAGGTGATTTAACTCACATATTAGAAAGATATTGTAGGAATCAGGTTCATCTTCTCGCTCAGAAACCCGTCTGATTTAGAAACTACCCGATCGGATCATTTCCGATTTGAACCAAAATCAGCACGCAGGGCGCGTATAGGGAAGGAATTGTATGCCATGTGGAGAGGTCATAGTGCTTCAGTTCAGTATAAAATGTTCTAGATACATCATTGAATTTTGAGAGTGTTGTTCATACTTCCCTATGAAGAAGCAGTAGGCGGCATTTACACAGAATACACTTGGAAATTACACTGTAAAGTCCGTAATTGCTGTTTGAGATCCATAGGTAACGTCGTTATTGTCCCTGAACGGGTTAACAAATTGTACTGAGAGCAAAATAAGAGACAGTGTCTAAATGATATCTCTTAATTTATTTATTCAAATTAAAAAAAATGTATAACGAAATAAAATGTAAGATACCATTTATACAAATAATAAATATCTCTTCAAAAGTTCCACAACTTTCATATTATCTTACGAGCTCACCAACCTGCCTTCCCGAACTATCCTACAGTACCAGGTACATAGCGAAAATGTGACACCGCGACACAATCTAATTCACGAAATAATACGTAATTCAATATAGGATAGCAAAAAAGTGAGCAATCTAACGTTGAAAAGCGGAAAGCTGTGCCTTTGACACGTGTCAGAAAGAGACAAATATATATCCACAGTTCGTATGCACGACTCCGTCTTTAAATTATACGTTCTCATAGCCTTGTGCCTCTACTGACGGTTAGCGAAATGACGGATTTTGTGTGACGCGATGTAACATTTTCAACCTTGCTCGTAAAGACGTCGGTTAGTAATTTGCTTGAACGTTCAATGGAGATATGACGTTTAAAATCCGATCGGAAATTTAGTAATGGGGGGTGCAAGACATGGACACCGAAGTCGGGGTTTAGAATTTCAGTACAGCTTCGGATAGCTACGAAGCGCGGCTTTGTTAGTTGTCCAATTGTTTACCGATCCCATTTTTTTTTAATTTCCTCCGCGCCCTATTATCATTGTATGAAAACTTATAAACCGGATTTTTGACAACGCGTTCTTATAGTTTAAAGAACAATTTCGAAGCTAATATTTTTAACTCGTCAGTATTATATTTCTAAAGGTTACAATAGTAAAAAAGTGGACTTGAACTTTTTAAAAGTGTTTCTGTGTTTTGTTGTGTAAGAAAAATATCGCTCAAAATTTTTCTTTTTTTTTTCGGTGAATTAATAATGAAGATATAAATAAAAGTATTTTTAGGTAAGTGTGGTGTTTGAAGGAATGGATATTAACAACAACATTTTTGTGGCGGTGTGACAAATAATTGGCATGAAAAAGAGCGCATGCGTTGGATTTTTGATTTTAAAAAATGAATAAATATATTTAAGACGGAATGCAATATCATGAGCGAGGTGGTTATTGTTTTGAATATTTTTTTAATATAAAATATTTATCACTTTTATATTTTTCTAACAGAATACTGTTTAACAAAATAAATTTTAACGGTAACTACATAGGGATTATTGGTGTAGGTAACTCAATCTATTAAACATTTCTTTTCTGTTTCTTTTTCATTTCAAACATTTTCTACAAATATCTCTGAATGATTACTCATAATTATTAATTTTCTCACTATCATTCTATCACTCAACTCAGGTAAATTTTTAAAATACTTACGCGCATTATTGAGCGACGGGAATTTGCAAATTGATAGAATTTATGTAATTTTATTGTGACAATGAAAAAACTTTAAAACATTCTAGCTATTATCAATGTTCTCTGTTTCTTATAAGATTTTGTATGAGATTTTTAATTGGTACGGTAAATCGAGCTTCCTAGCAGAAATTACTTTTATTGCGTATCTGACTCGTAATTAGGTATAATTATAAATCGCACCGCTCAGAAGAATGGCATAAGTGGAGTTACGTCAAAAACGTTTATTGCTCCATTAGATACAAAAGAATATTACCCACATTCTCTCCAATTCTTGTAATTCTGTCGACTTATATTGTAGATAGAGTTACAAGTATTGGAGAGGATGTGGATTATATTTTTCTGTATCTAATGGAGAAATAAACATTTTTGACGTAACTCCACTTATGCCATTTTTCCATGAGGAGTGCCATATATGCATACCAATATCTGCCACTACTGGCTCAGGTTGCATCTACTGAAGTAACACCAATTTAAAACAGCTACTTTATATAATGCGCCTTTCCAACGTTCTTATTTTAAATAGCATAGAGTTCAATTTCAATCTTAAGTGTAAAGCTAAGCGTGCTGTACAATATCTGAATATATCTTCTCCTTGGTGTGACATTTCCGATCCATAGATCGACTATCATTATTGTTACTAGGTGAAATGAAGTTGCGGCTTGGAAGAAGTACATGGTACTCATAAATATAATAAATAATAATAGTGGTTCGTTTCGTAGCTCATTTGGGAGAGCATCAGACACGGTATGCTGAAGGCGCTGGTTCCATTCCAGCTAGATCGAAGGAATTTTGTTTAATGTTCTGTTTTTATATTAATAATTACAACAAGCTAGTGGAGTAACTTCACAAAAAAAAATTGAATATCATAATAGAAAAACATTGTGGTAAACTGTTTTTTTTGCAATATCCAGGGACGGGATAAACTAGTTGTGCGCCTGATGCTAAGCTACACGCCTGTCCATAACAGTTGCAGTGCCACTCAGAGCTTTAAATTGCAAACTAAAACTGAGACTAAAAACTGAGGGGCACTACCACCAGGCCCATCACCCTGAGACATAAGTTGACAAGTCCCATGTGCCAGTAATTTCATCAGTAACCTTACCCTTCAGTACCGGAACGCAGTAATGCTAACATTACTCGTTGGCGGCAGAAATATGTAAGATGGCAGTACTTTCTGGACGAACTCTTTCACAAGGAGCTCTATACTGCTCTTTTACAATAATAATGTAGCCGGACAACCCCTCCAATGGCCTGTTCTCAAACTACGGATCTCCCTGTACTATGAATACCAGAGCAACGGAACATGTTAGGCCACTGAAGTGATTAATAAATGACTTCATTATCATATGCACCGTGAGTTGAACTGTTATCTAGTTTTATTAATATTGAAAATTGTTATAATTATTAATACAAAGATCGAACATTTAGGAAAAATTTCTTCGATCCGACTGGATTCGAACCAACGTCTCCTAGCAAACAGTGCTAGATGCTATGCCAACTAAGCCACGGTATACCAGCCGACCTTACAAATTGTTCTTTTGTTGTTGTTGTTGTTATCACCTCTGAGAAATATATTTAAATATTTCTTCACTCAGCCAAGTAAGTACCTTTACAGCTACCAGCAGCTGACTAGAGACGTCGCTTGAATAATTTTAATTAGTTGATGTCAGGATGTATCACCAAAAACATTTATTTTTAATAGAGCAAACCTTTTTAGTATGTGTGTTCCTTTATAATTCAAATTTAAATATCTTTTCATGTTTCTATGTCATTTTTTGTCATGACATTGTATTCTGACTGCAATAAATAAATGTTTTCACATAATTTACTTAGATCTATTTTATTGTTTCTAATCCGAACGTCCTAGATATCTGTGAGGTATCCATAAACTCTAGATTTGCTGAAAATATTCAATCAAGTATTACTTGTGAAATTACTTCACTAGTTTGTTACAATTATTAATACCAAGGTCGAACTAAATATGTTATAATTATCAATGTAAATGTACCTGGTTTAGTGAAGAAATAGATTTCACACAGATGGCGCTATGGTAAAATGTCGTTAAAAACCAAAATAAAGATCTGCAACAAGCACATAAAAACATTCATAAGGTCCGCTGGTTTGTTCCGTGGCTTAGTTGTTGGTTCAAATCCAGCCGGATCAAATTTTGAATTTTTTATAGGTGTTCTATCTTTCTATTAACAATTATAACTAATCATTGGAGTAATTTCACAAAAAAATATTGTATATCGTGGTGGTCCATCCTGACATTAATAAACTTAATTACAATATTGAAAATGTTAAATCGAAATTATGTGACAGTGGATGCTTAGTTTTCAGCGACACAAAGAAAACAATATTTATTTAGCAAATAACTTTGATAGAACGTAAAAATGACACTTGCCGCCGAAAAACCGATTACGTTTTAAAGCCAGAGTATTAGTAATAGAGTTTCATAAATTGTTCGATCAGGCATCTCATTGTTGGTTGATGACTTTACAATCTCAGTCAGACGTGACTTGTAAAGGGCTCGAAACGTTGGTTTGTTTGAAAAAACAAATATATTCCCGATTTAGATAGATATTTTTTGGTAATATTTTCTGTAGACATTGAAGTTGTGATATTATTTCGAATAGATAACACGAGAAAACACAAAATTGTACTAGAATTAGTCGCCTAGACGTGTGTCTGATTTGGTTTCCTACGACAACTATGTCATAACAAAAAGTGGTTGGAATGTTAAGCCCAGTATACATATACCATAATGTAGCGAAGAAGACCTGTGTACATTTATTTTTAAAATAGATTGACGAAATGCACCTCTTCGCTCTGTTATGGTTGATAATTTGCCTCTTAACATTTTGTTATGACATTTTTGATGCAGAAAACCAACTCAGGCCACATCTAGACGACTAATATTTACACGATGTGACATTTTCTCGAATTTGTTTTTGAAATAATGTCTAAATTTTATGTCCACAGAAAATATCACTAAAGATCTTCAATAATACTTTCAAATCAAAAGAAAACACAGCAAGTTCCAGTTCTAGTTTTTAGCAGCAATAAAACTCCTTGTGAAAGAGTTCCTCCAGGGAACTGCCTCCATACCTGTTTCTGCCGACAAGTAGTAATGTGATCCTTACTGCGTTCCATCTTTGAAGGGTGAGGGTGCTGGTGAAATTACAGGCACATGGAACTTGTCAACCTATGCCTCAGGGTGCAGTGGCAGTGCCCCGAAGATCTTTGCGATTTAAAGCTCTGGGTGGCATTGCAAGTATTATGGATAGGCGTGTCGCTTACCACCAGGCGCACGACTTTTTCATCCCTTCACTTGGTATTATTAAAAAAAAGATTCCTAACATAATCATCCTACGAAGTAGTTCACAAACACTCAACGACTCTCATCGACTATTAGAACCGTGGTATTTCACAAAATAACTCTTCTACAGTGTTCTAATGTAAAATTATAACCATTTTAAAAGTCAAATGATTCATGTTTACCTACACCGAAACGATGCATGTTATATTTTTGACAACTACGAGCGTAGTTTCCAAAATACTGCACTGTATAATTCATAAACATCACTATA